GTAAGATAAACAACTTCTTGGATATTTATTTTATTTATTTATAAATATATATTTACTGTGAAATGCTGATACCAAGACTTTTGCAAATACTTTCACAGACCCATGGTGAACTCTCAGGTGAAAAAGTAGTGAAAGGCATTTCCTCAGCCTGGACTTGCTACATAGGGAACAAGGATGTTTAGATGTGAAGATTTAGGATGCAGGGCCTTGAGCTTGAATCTGCTGAAATTAGGAGAGAGGCAGGCAGCTAAATGTTTTAGTTGACCAGTACTGTGTAGAAGTGGGATAATACCCTCATCTGTCCTGAAACCAAAGTATGTTACTGTAAAGGGGATGCAAAGGTAACCTGATGACTACTATGTTGCTGACTATGTTTTAGACAAGAAGAGAGAAAGCAAGGGGAAGAGAGAACATCCTTCTCAGATGATATCATGTAAATAAATCCTGCTGTGAGCAGTGCAATCCTTTGTGTCAAGTTGATCGCAAATCCTAGTATTCATCTTCAGGGGAGGAGATGATGTGTGTGACTGAACACCTGCAACCACAGAGCTTTTATTGTGGAAATTCTGCTTGCTGACCCTCTTCCACTTAGGACTTGAATTTAACATGTGTTGTATTCTTAAAAGCAGTAGATCAAAGCAGCACTTACTTGCTCTGAGACCTGTTTCCTATATTCCAGTGCTATTTGCTTATTTTAATGGCAGAGTTAAGGTCTTAATACTATTTATTTCTGCTACAGAGTCAATATAACTCTAAGAGAGTAATCAAGGTTTTATTCTGACTAGGGTATTGTTAGTTTGAATAGGAAATAAGCAAACCTAGTGCTTGTACTTGATTACCCTTCCTTCATTTCTGGAGCTGGCTTAAGTAATGCACAGGCAGAGGGAAGCCTGCAAGTGGCCTGTTAACTTTTATTACTAGTGCTGATGCACAAGCCAGGAAGAGCTCAACCTGCTTTGCAGCACCTCAGCTGAGTTTGCAGTGGCTACAAAAAGATGTTTTTAATAGATTATAAACAGATTTTATTTTATATGTAAGCCACTGAGACCCAATAAACATGGGTCTGTACTGTGTGGGTTTATGATTCCTGTTTTTAGAGCAGATCCCCAGTTTAAGTAGAATACTACCTGCTATCTGCTACCTCCGATTTATGTTTTAAAACGACAGGAAATGACTGTTTTAAAACCCTGAACCTCTGAGGCCCTGTCTGCTGCCGAAATGAGGTGGCTCCGAGGGCCGATGCCCTGACATGGCGGCTCCCGTGGTCCCAGGCCCAGCCGGGCGCCCACTGGCAGCTCTGAGCTCGCAGGCTGCTCTCCCTGCTTCCCAGAGCACATTCCCTAGCAACAAAGACCTGCAACAAATCCAAACGCACTTGGAGTACTCCGAGGGCCTCCTGTGACCAAGGTGGGAGCAGTGCCAGCTGCAGAAATATCACAGATGGGTCTGTGGCAGTATTGTATCCAGAAAGATTACCTTCCTCTCGAACTGAGACTGGGGTAAATATGCCAGAGTTAAAACGATCATTAGCATGTAGCTAGGAGTCTTCACCTGGAGAAAAGTATGATTTCCTTTTCCTTCTGTACAATGAAGAGGAATTAGATCTACTACAAAAGAAAAGGAAGGCAGATCCGAATGGGAATACCTTTGGGGGAAGTTTTAGCTTGAATGTCAACTAGGACTGAAGCACGTATGTCCTTTGCAGACCATATTTAAACTATTTTATGGGGGGATATGTTGCTTAGTATCTTTCCATGGCTATCTAACTCCCTAACTGGAATAAAATGCACTCAGGTGCTTAGCAGCCATTTACCTCCAATGGGCTGTCAAGACTGCAGTCTTTCCTGATGCTTTATAAAGCCTGCATGTACTTATAGAAAACCATTATTTTACAGTTATTAAATTATTATGGTACTCTGTGCTAGCGCTATGCTGGCCATTGCTCTAGCAGAGAGCTCCTCTGATTTTCTGCTTGGAACATTTAAGGTAAAGTACAGAATTAACAGCAACTTCAGAGGTAGATTGTGATACATCAGCTGGCTTTCCTTCTGTAAAACGAAAGGCAGGAGAAGCCAATAAAATTTGAGATCTTCTTCTGGTATTGCAATTTCTTCCTGTTAGATGGACAGGAATTGATTGTTTTCTTGTATTGCAAGAGGCAGTTGATGATTTACACCAAATCATCAGGCTAATTTTGAAATCCTAGTAAGCGGCTTTGTGCTTGGAGTGAGGCAGGAGGAAGCCTCCTGTTACCAGGAGGCAACATCTTGCTTTGGTTTTGCCCCTGCTCTTGGAGATGACTGGGAACATGAGGCCTTGGTACAGAGGTGTGCACGTGTGCTCCACTGCAATGGGAACATGCCAGGTTTGGGAGGAAGGGCTGCATCCAGCGACCTGCTCAGGGAAGGAGGAGCAGGGAGCCATGTACAACTTCAGCAAAACACAGTTCAAGAAACTGGAAAGAATAATTCAGGAAAGATTACTTCAGAAAGTCGTGGCATATGATCCAAGGTCACAACACATTTACCTTTTTCACTTCAGTTTTCTTATAAAACCATCCTGTACTTGTCTTTTCTTCACATCTGCGTAATGATGTGCAGCTACAGGGCTAACTCCTCCACGTTTCCCTTTCCTATTGTCTCTGGCAAATATGTCTGAAGGGGCTGCAGGGCTGGAAGAGACTCCTCAGCGAAAGCTGTTTTGACAAAGTAACATAAATGAGAAGACGCTTGCACACGTGAATCTATTTGGGAGATGCGTCGCTTTGGCAAGCTGTAACGTGGCTTTGGCTGCCCGAGCTGACTCGGGAAGCTTTCCGTGTCCTTTTGCCTCCTGTATTTTCCCTTGTCTTCAAGTTGTCCAAGTGTATTCTTACTTTTGATTTCAAAATGATGAAGAGGCGCCCTGGAGATGCTCTAGCTAATTCTTGGCCTTCCAGTCAGTGAGAGGGAAATTGTGCTTGTAGCACAGATGGAGATTTCTCTCTGAAGAGCACTCTTCCACTCGCATTGCTGTCCTTCAGATCTAAGGCACAGCAGTGGGTGCTCTACTGTATTCTTCTAAACTTCCTGTCATATTCTATATTTTGCTTAATACATTTTTTGAGTCACTCTATTGATTTCACTATAGAGCAACAGCGACCTTGACATGCCTCTGCACGTGTCCCTATGGTCCTGACCTCACTGTCAGCTTGTAAGCCGAGAACTGCGTATTCTAAACCAATGCATGTTTTTTCTCAGCAGATCAGAGTGATGGAGGAGAGACCTCAAATATCTAGGTGTTTGGTGGCCTCCTCTCAATTGCAATATCTGAAAGCTCAGTGTGCATGTAGAGAATGTCTCCTCTGACTCTTCCCTCTTGGTCACCATTCTGTGTGGGGGCTGTGTGGGAAGTGTACTGGTATTGGCCACTCTTATACTGGAGTCTGGCCATCAAGATGAGGTGTGTGTCTGGAGCAGAGTTGCCTGTGGCGCTTGTTCTTGCTGTGTTGATATTTTTACATTGCTCAGGGGAAGTAGGAGTCACCATGCACACATCACGGACAGTATTTGGGTTGGGGCTCACCCTTGCCTCTGCCTGGCCACTCTCCAGAACTGGGGCTCTGTCATTATCCATTCATGGATTTATGAGTTTTGGTGTATCATGAAGATGAGTTATCAGCATAGCAAATAAATGAAGGAAGCTTACCAATAATTAAAGACTTTCAACTCTTGAACAGAGTTCAAGAGAAGCTGTAAAGTTTCCTCCCCTTACACTAGTTAAGAAATATATAAATATATATGTGTATGTGTGTGTGCCAAAGAAATAGTTTGTGACTTGTTAGAAACTAAATGGAAGAGAAATGGAGAGCATATTGAGCAAACACATTAACTGTGAGGGAGAATTCACCTTGATGGCATTAGTTCTGCAATACCAGCTCATCAGCAGGTGCTTCAAACATACTGCTGCTTGTCAGGAATTCGGCAACTAGGAGAGGAAATTCATGCTGATTTATGGGGTGTTATTAAGGGTTAAATATTTAGAATTGCCTTGAAATTGGATTGATTAGGACTGTAGATCTGTGGCTGGTATGTTAGACATTTCGTATGGAGAAGACTTGGGTATGTGGACAGACAGCTAACATACATGAAAGTATCAAGTACAAGTAATTTTCCACTGTTTTTCTCTCCATTGAAGATGTGCCTAAAAGTACCTGTATTTTTGCACCATGTTTATGGGCTAAAACAAGTCACTGCTCCTTTCCTTGCCTGATTTTACAGATTCCACCTATCAGTATTGCTATCGTGCCCTGCTAGTAGGCAAATTAGGCATGTTGTATCCTCTCTGGTGCAAAATCCACATTTTGAGAATTAATGGAATTCTTTTTAAAAATCTGCATCTAAGGTAGAATCTTACCCTGGCAATTTTGAGAGAATTAGCACAAGTGAAAGGTAGTATGGGACAGTGGTTTCTAGTTCTGCTCTAAGATTAATGCAAATGATCTGGGAATACCAAGGGCTGAATAACTGCTGACAAAACAACTGGATCTTCTGTTAAAGAGGAACTGGCAAAGTCTGGCATTTCTCAAGGCCAATTTTATAACCTGACATTCTGCCAAAGAGGAGATGCAAATGATGAGGTCAAGGGCTCATTCAATGGCTGTGAAATCAGCATCAAATAAACAGCCACAGGGAGCACCAGGCCGTGTTCAATCCTTTGCCTGGAGCCCTCAAATATTAGGATTATTCTTGACAGATGGAGCAAAGGCTTCCATTAGCCTGGGCAAGCAGTATGAGGAAATGCAAAACAACTCAATATAAAGTGTGGTGATAGTGATGCAATGCCAGAAGCTTCCAATGGTCTTTAGCTACCTTTAAATGATCTACCTTTTTTATTATTTTTTATTTTTTTTTTTATTATTTTACTCCTTCTCATGATACAGAAGAAGATCCAGTGATATATAGTCAAAAGCCCACGTGTGGGTTATAGCTGCTAGGTGTATCGCACGTATCTCCGTAAGG